ATTAATTATAGATAATTTTGGAGACTTTATTTGATTTTATAATATAAGTTACATTTTGACTAAATGAAGATATTATTAATTAATAAAATAGTAAAATAAAATTCAAGATTTGGTGATTAATATCAGTTGGTAATCATATTTCAATTTCATTATTTATTGATCCTGTTAGTTGTATAACGATTTTAATTTTTCAATAAAAAACTACTAAAATATTATAATTATTGAAATCAGAAATACCATTTGAAAAAGAATTTAACAATAAATAGAAAAATTAATTTAATGTTTATTTAGCTTGATAATTCAGAGAAGATGATGTTTCCTCCATTTTCAATCTTTTTGATAGTTTCATTTTAATTAAATATTAATACTTAAAATAATTATAAAATAGTTACTTCTCATTAATCTAAATTTATTTATGGAATAATATTTTTGGTAAATTGGCAACTGTTTTTAGATGAATGAATAATATGATATGAGGATATATAATATAGCAATATATATGAAATAAAAAAAGGCATAAATTTATTTATTTATTTAATATAATTAATGTACAAGTTGATTTATTTATTGTGTAGAAAGATTAGATATTGCTTTGTTAGATCATCTTTAATATAAAAAACTTCTACTTCTGCAATAAAAGATTAAAGTGAAATCATTAGCAATTTATCCATCTAATTATTTAAGAAAAAATTTGCAAGTCGTAAAAGAGACAAAATTTATATAAATTTAAATAAATAAAACTTCTATCTATGAAAGCATGATATAGATCTAAGAGTTATGAAAATAAATAACCTAAATTCTATATAAGGAAATTAATTGTTTAGTTATATTCTGAATATGAAAATATTTACAAAAAAAGTATAAAGGAAAGTGATTATTTAAATAACATTTACCATCCTATTTACAATAAAAGAGCTGGGAAAATCTAAGAATCTAAACTAGAATTGAAGGAGTTTTGCAGTATAATTTATGAATTTATTTTATTTAAAACAAACTAATTAATAAGGAATTTTAAAATATTAATGCTAAAATATTAATCTTGATGAAATGCAAATGAATAATATTTAAGTTAATAAAAATGTTTAAAGGAAGATTACTCAATTAACATAGTTGCATTTCAGTTAAGATAACTATGGTTATAAGATTTACATAATCCTCATGATTATGATTATGAATGAATAAGTTAATTTTTGGGTGGAGCGCATAATCATAAATAAAAGTGAAATAATTAGAAAAAAACAAAAAACTCTTTTGATTGTACATCATCAGAAAGTGCATAATTTATGGTCAAAAATTAAAATGAATACATATTTTTAAATTTTGATAACATAAAATCTTATTAGATAATGACACACAAAAAGATTTGTAAACTATATTGAATTATCACATGAGTATGATAGAAAAAGGGATTAATTAATATATAATTTAAATTAGAAAATAAAAGGAAATTAGATTTTATTTTTCTCAACAGTTATTTTAAATAAAAATCATATTCCCTATATTATTTATAATTAATAATTCCTCTTATTAGTAAAGATAGATTATTCCCAAAAATAATATTTACTACTTCATCAAGTAAGCTTTTTAAAAAAGTCTGTAATTTTTATCCTATTATTTTTTTTGTTAATAAAAATTGACCATAGTTCATATTATTCAAAATCACTAATATTTTAAACCTAGATAATTCTTTCAAAAAATAAAATGACCTGAGTTTTTCACATAAAACGCTTTAAAAAAATGGAATACATTTTTTGTTTGCAATCTTATTTAAAATATAAATTTTAAATATTTGTGAACTTTATATCATTAAAGTTTGTAATCTGTATTATATTTTGTTTAATCCTTTAATATAAAATCCTTTTACTTTTTAATTTGAGGTAAGTATTAATTATTAAATAATATATATATGGAAAAAGCAGTTTCAATTGAAAAATAATTCTATGTGAATAGAATTAGATAATTTAGGAACATCTGAACTTTATAATATTCAAATAGAGTCGATTATGCATTAATTTAGCAAATAGATGTAATATTAAAATCGCCAAAATAACTGGATATTCAGATAAGGATTCTTTTCATTATCTTCATCTTGTATTGATTTAATCAAAATAATGCTCTTTTAACAGCAGGATAGAAGAGAATAATAAAAACATTCCCAAATAAGAAAGGAATAAACCAATGCTATACAGAGAGAGTGATCTGGTAGAATCTAATATGATAAAAGAGTTAGATAGGTCCCATAGTAACCAGAGATAATAGGAGAATCAAGACACACTGTAACTCCAATAACCTTAATATTTTTAAACATAGGTTTTGTAATAAATGGATACATGTAAACGATAATAAAAGTAATCTAAATAATTAATAGAAACAGATAGTAAGGAGAGAATATACATATGAGGGCATCCTAACATTCATCTTTGAGCTTTAAAAGATAAACAATAAAGCCGCTCACAAATATTATCATATATATTTGATATACGAGCAAGCGAATCTAAAGTAAAATCAATTTAATTTAATCCAACATAATAATTATATATACTCTAAGTGAAAATAATCTATAATAATACTGATCCTTATTTCTAGAATTCAGCCATTTAGGATTTTTGCTTTTAATAGATTGAGCATAAACAGTGGAAAGTTGTAAAATAATTTAATTTATAAATATATATGAGTATATTAAATATGAAAGAAAGCTCTTAGATAATTATTTAAAATTTGCTGATGGATATTATTCAAAAGGTAATTTATTATTGTATTTTAAAACTACTTAAAATAAATTTAGAAATATCCTGATCTTTTTACAGGTTAATTAGAGTGCTTAATCATAAAAAAATAGAAATATTTACAAGCTTTAGATTACTTAGATAAGCTTTTATAAAACATTAAACTTCTTAAAAGTGAATATATACAAATCCAACATTAAGATACCGGTATAGACCTTGAAAGAAAAGTATGTCAATTATTGAAGATCACATGATAAAATAAGATAGAATTAAATTAAAATGTTTTTTAAGAATAAATATTCAGATCCTAGGATAAAATAAATGAAAAAAATAAATAGACAGAATTTGTCAGAAAATCAGAAAATATTAACGACAACATATGATTATGATTGAACATTAATAAGCTCTCCATGAAGCATCTATTGTTTTTGAGTATGAGCTAGGGTTCAAGAGGAGTAAAAGCCCCAACCAATGGGAGACAGAGACT